CCTAGGACAGATGTATAGGTGTGTCTGAGAGAAATTAACTGGGGTGGGGTTGGAAGAGGAGGGCAGGCCTTCTCTCTTAGATTTGGGAGTCAGAATCCCTCTCTGTAAAGCATATGTGGCATACTGTACTGTGTATTTGACTTTTAATTTTGTGTGTGCTTTAAAGTGAAACACAAATGCTTGAAAAATATGTTTAATATCAGTAATCATCAGGGAAATGCAAATCAAAGCCACAATGTGATACCACTTCATTCCAGTGAGAATGGCCCTATTAAGAAAAAAACAGAAGCAAGAAATGGAGAGGATGTGGAGAAAAGGAACCCTTGTTGGTGGGAATGTAAACTGGTCCAGCCCCTATGGAAAACAGTATGGAGGTTCCTCAAAATACTAACAATGGGTCTATCGTATGGTCCAGCAATTCTAGCTATCTACCTGAGGAATGCAAAAACACTAATTTTAAGGGATATTTGCACTCCTATGTTCATCATGGCACATTTACAACAGCCAAGTTATGGAAACAATGTAGCAGGTCCTTCTGAGATAGTCACCTGCTACATTTGTGCCTTTTGCAGCATTGGGTTGTAGTTGCCAGGAATTTTAGGTTTCCCCGGGGTTTCTGTGATCAGGTGCCTGCAGTTGGAATAAACAACCTCTAGGTGGCGCTTTTACATATTATTGTTGAACTGGGTTGCCAGGGAGACAGGTCACCAGTCATCTGAGCATGATCAAAAGGAATTCCATTATTATTTCTTATTTAAAAAGCATTGTGTGTTTATGATGGAAACACTAGAACATCTAGTACTAGTGAAAAATGGGAGAATGTAACCACAACCTTTCAAAGACAACCTGCATTTCTATGCAGGAGAACAATCTTCATAACCCAGCAGCCCCTTCCTTTGCCTTCAGAGCATGGAGTGCTGTGCTTCCACCTGCTCATTCATCCTTGCTTCCTGTCAGGTCCTCACAAGTTCTCAGTGCTGCTGTCATAAGCCATTCTTGCTAGTAAGGACAGGTCTCACATCACCACGTAGCTTTCCTTTGCAGACCTTTCACACAGTAATTTTAAATTTACTTTGTGGGTTTCATATAATGTTAACTTCCTGCTCAATGAAGACAGGAATTGAGTCTGCCTTACTGATCACTGAATCTTCAGGTTCCAGCACATGATAAATAACTGATATTTTTGAGTAAATAAACAAATGAAATACATTTTCTACTGTGCATTTGACTTTTAATTTTGCCTATAGCATGTTTGATTTATAGAATCTTTAAAATATGTATAAACCTTTTCTTTTTTATTTCTTTTTTTAAAAGATTTACTTATTTATGCATACAAGAACTGGGGTGCAGGCCAGAGGCACAGGGGCGAGAAGACCCACCAGAGACAGAGTGGGGAACAGAAAAGGCAGACCGACCAAGCCAGGAGAGGCAGGCGAGCCAGGAGAGGTCTGCTGTGCCATGTGGGCAGCTCGAACTTGTGCCGCAGTGGCTGTGGACAGCTTCATAGGCTGTGTCTCAACCCCTTGCGCCACCAGGGGAGGCCCCCTCTGTTTTGATTTTTGCCTTTGTTAGAGCTATGCTTTTTTAAAGTCCTTCTCCACTTTAAGTATATAGAAATATTGATCTATTGTTTTTTTTACTGCTTTCATACTTCATTGTTTGTATTAAAATCTTCATCTACTTCTGTTGGGTTCCTGGACCCAATTTCCAAGGGAGTGTTTGGAGGATCCCCCACACCAACAAGCAATTCTCAGATACCCAAACGGTGTCCGAGAATTCAAATCAATTCTAACACTATAGACTAGAGAGAACATCAGATGCCATCTCAAGTCCCAAGCAAGTACCTCGCTTCTGATCACAAACTATAAATCAGAGGTTCCCAGGACTCCCTCCTCAGGTTGGATTAATTTGAAGCTCATTGATCTCAGAAAACCCATTTAGTCAATAGATCAACAATTTACTACAGAAGGTGATATTTAGGAACAGCCAGGTGTGCAAGGTATGGGAAGGGGAGCGAAGCTTACGCATCTTCTCTAAGCACACTGTTATCCCCAAATCTCTTCGTGTTCACCCATCCAGAAGCATTCCAAAACTCCTTTTGGTCTATTATGGAGGTTTCATTACAGAGGCATGACAGATTAAATGATTGGCCACTCCAATCAAACTCAAGTTCTAGTCCTTCTTCCTTTCCAGGAAATTAGGAGGCCGGACTCAGTTATATCTTCCATTTGTGTCAGTTTCCCTGGCAACCAGCCCCCCTTCCTCAGGTGTTTTCTAAGGGGTATCTTCGTTAATGTAAAGGGGTAACTTTACCACTCACTACACTTAGGAAATTCCAGGGGTTTGGGACATCATGAGGCAGGAACTGTGCATAAAGACCGAAGATATACAAGCAATATGACCAGAATATGTATTTCTTATAAATCACAATATTGTACTACCTGCACTTTATTTTTGGCATATGGCATAAATTAGGGAAATAACTTCATCTACTTTACAAATGGTTAGCCATGTCCCCAAGTCTTTTCCAGCATTCCCTTGCATATTTGAAGTGATTCATTGATTGTACACTGAATTCTTTTTCATATTTAGTTATGTCAATAATGTCTACTCCTACACTGGTAGCATTTTTCCACTGTTTTAATTATTATAACATTATGATACAATACGACGATTATTATAACTTTATAATATAGCAGAATGAAGCCTTGGGAACATAGAAAGACCCATCTCCAGTCATCAAGGCCCAGCTGTCTATTGGTGAAAGCAGATAAGTTAACAAATATAACATGATAAATATTGCCCTGGAGGTAAGCAGAGGCCAGGATCATTGCCCTCAGCCTGGCAGGGTGTGTGGCAAAGCACAACTCTCAGAAAAGGTGATATGAAGCAAATCATTGGAGGGAAGGGGACGTTTGTGTGTGTTTGTTTATTTCTATTATTTACTGTTATTTCATTTTAATTTATTTTTTGATTAGCAGTACATTCATGCCTTTGACAATTCCTCAGTACTCCTCAGTACAAGGGACAAAGAAACACTGTCCAATAAAAATATAATGGGATTTAATTTTTTCCTAGTAGCCATATTTTTAAAAAAATAAAGCAAAACAAGTGAAATTAATTTTAATATATTTTATTTTGCCCAGCATATACAAAATTATTGTTTCAACATCTAATCAGCGAAAATATTACTAGTAAGATTTTTGAGTTTCAGATTTCATACCAAATCTTCAAATTTTGGGGCTTCCCTGGGGGCCTATGAGTTAAGTCTCAGCGCTCTCACCACTATGGCCTGAGTTCTGTCCCCGGCCAGGGAGGTAACCCATATATGTCGTAGAAGACCTCTCCTGTCTCATTCACTGCTCCCCTTAGCAGTGAATTTCAGCAGATCCACCTGTTCTGCTCTCCACTCTGTGTCTGGTGAATTATCTCACCCCCCTACATATCTCTGGCCTACACCCCAGTTTTCTATGCAAAAATAAGTAAATCAATCAATCAATCAATAAAAATATTTTTTTTTAAATCTTAGAATTTGCAGAGTATGCTTTGCATTGATAACATGTTGCAATTCGAAAAAGCCATTTTATAAGTCCCTAACAGCCACATGTGGCTGAGCAGCTACACAGTGATAAGTTTTGCTGCCATTTGTGCCACAAAGCAAGTTCCATTGGTGGCCTCAAGTGTGTTCTTCCCAGATACTTAATATGTATACAAACAGAAACATGTGTGCACATGTAGTAGGATAAAACTCGTGCTTTTGTACATCCTTTTTTAATGGACTAAATCTTGGATATGTTCCATATCATTAAAGTGGGAGCCTACATAAATGTCTTCCTTCCTTCCTCCCTTCTTCCTTTCTTTCCTTCTTGCTGTGAAGTAGCCCATTTTATGGATGTCATAAATTCTCTAGTTGTTCCTTATCAATGGACATTTAGGTGGTTTGTAATATTTAGTGCTTATAAACAAGTTGAACTGAGAGGCACAGAGTAATAGGAGCTAATAATATTCTAGAGAAACTAGCTAGCATGAAGGAAAACATGGGGCACAAGGACACATGGCATCTTGGGATCATTTCCTGCATTTTGAGATGTCTAGAGAGTGGAGTGTGTGTGAACAGAGGAGGAGCAGAGGCTGGAAGGGCTGAGAGAGATTACAAGCAGACTTGCAAGTGTCACATTAGGGAGTTTGGACTTTGTCCCTACTGGAAAGTCATCAAAAGATTTTAAGAAGAAGGGAAGAATAAATAAATGATTGAATTAATAATTAAATGGGTGAAAAGGGACAAATTTTCTATGCTGATGAATTCTGATTAATATATGTAGGAAGATGAGGGAAACAAAATCTTAGAATACTACAGTAATCATTATGGCAGGCAACATCTACTGATGAATATTCATGTTAGTGGACAAAATTTTGAGAAACAGAATATTTGCTTAATCTCACAGTACCTCTCCCCAAATAGGTATTAATTATTGTGATGGTCTTAGCATATGTCCAGGTATTCTTTGATACTCTCTAGGAAGTGGCACTTAATTTCATTGGATTTACTGACTTACTTCTGATGAATAAGGTATGGAAAAGGACAAATAGTAATTTTACAATGAACTAAGTTGGCAGATACCAAAGGTGTCTAGGTCAAGGTTAACATCACCAGTAAGGCCATGTTGATAAAGGGTACCCCTCAAATGTGATACAGGCATTTCACCTCTCTGGTGTTCTTCCCCAAACCCATAATCCAAGTCTAATCATGAGAAGACATCAGGTAAATCTGAATTGAGACACATTTTTGCAAAATAATTAACCAGTACTCTTCAAAAGTGTCAAGGTTATGAACAACTAAGAAAGACTGAGAAGCTGTCACAGAGCAGCAGAGACCAAAGAGCCACAATGACTGTATGTGTCATGGATTGGGTCCTGGAACAGGAGAAGGACATGTGGAAAAAACTGGGAAGATATGAATAAAGTCTTTGTTTTATTTAATATTATTGTATCAATGATAACCTCTTAGGTTTTTTTTATAAATCTATAATAGTTAAGATGTTGCCATTAGCTGGGTAAAGATATACCATGTCACCAGGTGCTATCTTAGTAATTATTCTAAAATAAAAAGTTAAAACAAAGCATCAGGGGAGTAACCAGACTAGATTCACATTTTAGAAGAACGCATTGGATTTAGAAGAATCCCAGATAGGCAAGAAGTCTGGCTGGGGAAAAGTCCAAGCAAGGAGTTTACAAGATCCTGCTATAAAAATTCAAGGAGGGATGGTAGATGTCCAAATAGTAACTGGGGCATCAGAAATTTGAGACCATGGATAGGTTGGAGAGATTGCTAAAGGAAACACGATCATACCTGGTGATGACCTGGACAAGAAAGTGAGGAAATAGAAGGATTCAAGCTAACACCCAGTTTTCAGCCTCTGGGAATTAGATGAGTAATGATATCATTTACTGAGATGAAGAAAACCAGCATTCGGGGAAGCATTAGTTCAGTTTTAGACTTGTTGAGTTTAGCGTATATTTGAGAGTTCCAAGTGTTCATTAGGCAGCAGTTTATACAGGTCCACAAATTGGGAAGAAGTGCTGACTGTAGGCTGTTGTGGCAATATAACAGAGTAAAGAACATGAGTAGTTAAGGGTTAGCCCCAGCAGGTGACAAAGAGACTGAAGTGAAGTATGCCCTAGAAGTGGTGACGGTGCATGCAGTCATTTGGGGCTGGTTTCTGGAGGCAGGCTTCCAGGCCAGAATACGAGCTTTGTCCCCTGCTCATTGTGTGACATGGGGTAAGTCATTTCATAAGCCTACTGTCAGTGTATATGAGACACTCTATACAAAGTTCTTAGAATAATACTGGGCTCAAGGCACTCAAAAAAGTTGGCTAATTGAAAGCAAAGGAAAACAGGCTTGTCCTGAATAATGAGAGCTATTCTGACACAAGCTAGAACATGGGTGAACCTTGAAAACATTATGCTATGTGAAATAAGGCAACGCAAAGTGACAAATATTATATGATTCCACTTACATGAGAAATCTAGAACAGGTAGATTCACAGATAGAAAGTACAATAGAGGCTACCAGGGACAGGAGTGGAGGGATTATTATTTAATGGGCACAGAGCCTGCATTTGGGTTGATGAAAAATTTCTGAAAGAGGATGATGGCTACACAACATTGTGCATGTACTCAGTGCCCCTGAATTGTATACTTAAAAATGGTTAAAATGGCAAAGCTTTATCATAATACTTTTGTTAAGGGCATATTATTATTGCTGCAGAGAAGTCAAATAAGATAATCCATGGGAAATTCCCCTGTATTTTGTTACCAAGGGGCCATTTCTGGAGATCTTTTATAGGAGCAGATAGGTCAAAAGTCAGATTGCAGTGAGTTGAATGAAGGGTGATTAGAAATGTCTAGACTAGGGCTTGGCAACCTACCATCAAATCTAGCCCACCACCTGTTTCTATAAATGAAGTTTTATTGGCACACAACATTGATCATGTGGACATAAATGGGTGGGAATGGAGAAGCCCTCAGTTCCTCTCTTGCTCTCTTCCTGGTTCAATATGCCAAACTATGGAGCTACAGGAATTATTGCAGAAGATGTAAAAATCAATGGTAAAGTGGGAACAAGTGAAGTCCAGGTGTTGGGACCAGCAGAGCACATTGAAAAGCAAGGAGGTGTTAAAGAAAGACTTCTGGATAGAATCAGGTTGCATGTCAAAGTGGGGTTTGGAGGCACAGGGAGCATGGGAGCAGCTAGGGGAATAGATTTTGCTAAAGCCTGCAGTCCACTAGAGACACATAGCACCTTGTAACTTCTTTGCCCTTCAAAGTTGCCCTTGATAATGCAGCCTTTGACTGTCTAGAGTTCTGCAGCCATCAAGTCAGAACCAAAAGGGAATTCACTGATTCAGTTCATCCACTCAGCCCCTGATTACAGCAGTAAAAAAAACCAAACTAGGCCCAGAGAAGTTTGGCAACTGATCCAGGCACACACAACCTAGTGGCAGATCCTAGACTGAGAAAGTCTGCATCTCCCAGCTGGGCGCCTATGTGCCGCAGTTCCCTGCCTCCTGCCTGCCTCAGTTGCTGGGGTGGGGGCTGTCCCCCACATGTGGAGTGCTTACCTTGGAGCCTTTTTCATGAATGAGACCAGATGCAGAACTCCACATTGATCATTTCTGTCCCTCCCCTTTCTGGTTTCTGTTAAAGGCAGCCCCCCAGCTCCCAGCTGGCTCCTGTCCCCTCCCCCAGCCGGGAGAAGTTATTACATGAAGAGATCAGCTTACCAGTTTTCTTCAGAGCAGAGGCTGAGCTCGGAGGAGCTCCGGGTAGTGCAGTGAGGGAGAGCAGAGGGAACTAGCGCCGTGCCTAGCAGAACTCCAGGGCTGGAATCCCGAGACACAAGTGCATCTGCTAGCTGTTAGCACTTGGCAGACGGAGTTCTCCTCTAGGGTAGTTCTAACTTTGGGTAATAATGTTTGTCAGCTACCTGATATTAACATTGCTCCACGTTCAAACAGCAGTGTTAGCAAGACCTGGGGGAGAGGTAAGCCAAATAAAATATCTTGTCAGAAGTTGTATTTTTGTCAGCCTTATATGTCCTCTTCTATCTACCAAGAGGGATGGGGGAATAGACTTTTATGATGGACAGAGAGTACTGCTTGATATTGCTTTTGAAGGCTTACTTTGCCTTTTCTTACAGGAAGACTGCTTTTCTTCTTGAAGAGTCCTGTAATTTCTAAAATCTCATTCTGAGGCTGTCTGTACAGGTGCCACTCCAGGCAGCTGGCGTGGTCTTGGTGACAATTGCCTGAGCGTGCACATTTCTCTTGCCATTGCAGACCAAAAAAAAAGTGTATGTCAGATTTTGGTTGGGATTTTGGTTTTTTTGAGAAATTTTCTCCAGTGCTGCAGAGAGAATATGGATGCTAGAGGAATTGCTTTTCTTTACTGCTTTTGCATTACATTTTTCTCCTCTTTTGCTTTGATGTGCTTAGAACAAATCTGTACTTAACTTTCTATTGCAGTTTTGAAGAGGGATAGTGGGATATAACAGCACTAGCAGCATGCCTGGACCTACCCCAGAAGGGAGGAGTGTTTAAGGTCCGAGAAGATGATTTTTTTCTAAATGGTATGAGGCTCATATGTTTGCTGGATACCTTTCTGAATATCATAGATGCTTCTAGAAGTCAGTTTTGGATGCAGGCAAAGAAATTGAAAGGGATGATCATGTGTTGTGGAGAGGGAAGTGCTTGGCTAGATGCAGCCTCATCTGCAAATAAGCCTGCAACGAGTTTCCCTGGTCCACTCCTTTTACTCTTTATTCTGATGAATAGTCTCAGAGATCGATGCCTGAGTAAGGAAAGAGGGGCCTTTTCCCTGAATCCATCTTCCGCTATGAAAAGCCAAGTGAAAAGTATATCTCCTAAAAAGGTCACAGGGCCACTTCTCAGCTTTGTCTTTTGTTAGCATTGTCCAAAGAGCAGGCTCTGAAAGCCTAATGTAATTACTTCCCCTTTTCTAGGCAGAGTGGCAGTGAGGGGACTCCCAGGCCGGCTGCTGGGCTCGCGGTGGTTGCAGCAGACTTGCTACTCCCTTCAAAACTGACATGTGACTCTGAGGCATACAGCGGCGTGTCATTTGTTTTAGGCTTTTTGCTTATTAGTTACCCGTGTCCTCTGCTCTGCAGATACTTTCTGGGCCTGTGGGGGATCGAGGTCTTGAATGGAGTTCAGGGAACTGAATGGAGCAGTGATGCTGGAAGCCGAAAGCAGACCATTGCCCTCTAGTTGTAGTTGAAGTTCGCAACTTCCCTGTTGATTTTTTACTGTGTAGAGTAAATGACAAATGGGCTGCCCTAACTCAGCCCGGAGCACTCCAGCATGTGAGAAGCGAGCTCATATGGAAAATATTTCTATCACCGCTGCATGCGCATATGGTCTGGGGAGACCCCCGTACAGAGCAAATCACAGCGCTGCGGCGGCCCCTCGGTGGCGTGCCAATTACTCTTATTAACAGCTCAGCCAAGGCGGGCTTCGGTTCCCAGCACAGCTGGCTCCCGGGGAAGGCCACTCTGGACTGTGTGCCTCCAGTTCTGTGTCACATGCAGAGGGGCAAGTGGCTCTGTTTCACTTTACAATCAGTGCAGCAGATGAAAAATGAAAGGGGATTACACCGGCTCCCCCAAAGCTTGATGCTGTTCAGATGGCACTCCTGAACAGGAGAGGAAAGCAGAACTTCCTGTCTTTTGAGCTGAAGTGTGTGTGCTCAGGAGCCAGAAACCCCAATCCGAGGTGATAGGGTTCCCCTCTTCTGCTTTGTTCTACTCTCCTGGTCCCAAGGCCTTCCTGCAGGGCTCCCTCTTCTCTGTCCTGTTCTTTTGGCACGTGCACTCTCCCCATCACTGGGGGGCCTTCGCCCCATAACCTGCGCGCGCCTAGGAAATTGGACACTTAGGGTTCCTTTCCCCTTGGTGGAAATAAAATGATGAGGAAGGAACTTGGGAGTGTGAGTAGTTCCCCCACCCTCCTTAAAAAGAATGCAGTTTATATAGAGCTTTGAAGAAAGTGGCGTGTATTTATAAGAGCCTCTTTTTTTATAACCGTGTTACCTACACAACTCACCCATAAACATGTGGCATCGTCCCCAAGTCACCAAGATTTTCTTTTGCTCTGCCAGCTGGTTTTCTTGCAGGTTTTAATTATCTTCCCTTTGGATGTTCATAAAAACACATGAGGAAAGGAAGAAAGCGTCAAACACCTACCAGTGCTTGGCTGGCTGTGTTCTCATCATGGGACTGGAAGTCAGGCAGAGAACTCCGGGTGGTAGCTCACAGAGTCGGTTTTCTAGGGTGTGGGTCCATCCAGGTCAGAAGGGGCTGGCAGGTTAGGGTGGAAAGGGCGTGATCCAAAGCAAGCCTGCTTGGTGTCCTGTTGCTGACAATGTTAGCACTGGTGACTTGTCAACCAAGGACAGATCAACCCCGGCATGGTGCTGGCACACAGATTTCAGAACAAACACAGAGAAGGGCTGTTGCTTCTTTCATATTCTTGTTGTAAGAACATCGAGGTCGCCAGACTGCCTTTGCCCTTGTCACAATTAGGATAACAGCAGTGTTCACTTGTACAGACCACATGTCTCCCCTAAATAATAAAAAGACGGTGAGATCAGACTGGGCTTTTGATGTGTTTGTTAGTGGGGAAAGCATGCCAGGGTCTGTTCTTTGTGGGATGCAACAAGTGGTGGGGCTGTGTGTGGTGATGGTGGGGGGTGCATTTTCTTTCCTGAACTTGAACTTAGATTCTCAGATAAGACAAATGAGATACTGGTATGTGTGGGGAGGTAGGGAGGAGAGGCAACTAGAAATCTACACGTTTTTATATATCTTGATGAGAAAACGTTTTCAAAGTGGGCCCAAGAATTGTTTATGTTAAGTTTGATGAGGCAATTTGACAAAATTAAAAATAAATATCTTGACAGCTAATGGGCGTAGGTTTCTTTCATGGTGATGAAGATGTTTTAGGAAGTGCTGATGCTTGAACTATTCTGCGACTAGACTAAATACCACTGAGTGATACCTTTTAAAAGGGCAAATTTTATGCATGTGAATAGCTCAATCTTTAATAATAAATTAATACATATCTCCTTGACCTAGCTTTTCCATCTTTGATATTCTATAAAGATCTGCCATTAATGTGCAAAATTCTCTGTGAGTCATTTTTCATGACCAGGCTGTTGCAGCAATCTAAATATCTCTCGATAAGGGACACCATGCAGGTGTTGAGGAAGAGGGAGTTGGCTCAGTATGTACTAGTATGAAAGGACCACCAGGATAAGTTGTTAGGTGAGAAAAGCTAGTTACAGAATGACATGTATAAAATGCCACCCTTTGTGCAAACATGTTAACATATTTATCTGTCCTCTCCTTGGAAGGATGCACAAGAACATGGGGAGGAAAGTGGGGTGACTAGGAAGGAGGGCAGGTGAGAGACATGTTTCATGCTTTTAGTGTCTTTTGATTATACGCAGTAAGCATGCCTTATCTAGTAAAAAAATCAAATAAAAGATATGATATAATTATAAATCTCTTAGTAATAAATAAAATACATAAAAATAAATCACTTGGTAATAAGTAATATACACGATGTAATCATGTCCTCAGCAATCACTCCTAATGCATGTTAAGGTGAAGGGTGCATAAGTTAATAGCCATCACATTGAAGTGCAACTCAGAGTCCTAGTCATTCGTTAAGGGCTAAAAATGATGCCCTTTAGATGATCCTTCCACTTACTTAACACTTATTTATGGCTTCTCTGTTTTTTTCATTCTTACAATAAGGATAATAATTTTAACTACTCTAAGGCGTGGCAGGAAGGATTAAATGTGCTAAGATATATAGAGCTCTTAGCTTTGTGTGTCAGGCACATAATAAACAGCACACACTAGCTATTACTATGATTACTATTTTTAAAGCTACCAGGGTGTGCCACTTCTGTGCTGAAAAAAAGGAAGGTGAAAAGATAAGATCTTTGTCTTTGATGAATTTATGCTTTAAAAGGGGCAGAGTACAGTTAATGACTGGTCATTTAATAAGAATTCTTTAGAACTACAAGAGTAGAGGGACTCCCTGGTGGCGCAGGGTTAAAGACAGCACTATCAAGCAATTGCCAACCAATTGCCAGTTTGGTCCCCAGCTGGCCAGGGAGATACCCACATGGCACAGCAGACCTATCCTGTCTCGCCCGCTGCTCCCCTCAGCAGTGTTTTCAGTCTGTCTGCCTGTTCTGTTCCCCACTCTGTCTCTGGTGAATCCTCTCACCCTCCCATACCTCTGCCCTATACCCTAATTCTTGTATGCATAAATAAAATAAATCTTACAAAAAAAGAACTATAAGAGCAGAGACAAGGGAGAAATGAGCTCTGCCTAAGACCCCACAAGCTGTAGTATTTGAACTGAGACTAAGGGTTGTTTGTTGGGGATCTTCAAGACAACCCCAGGTTCAGTGTTTCAAACTTGGCACAGAGTTGCATTCACAGCTGTGACTTCCAACAGTGAAAGGATGCAGAGCAAAGTCAACAAAGGAAAAGTTGCATGGGGTGAAGTCTGCAGGAAGTCAGGTGCAAGCTTCCAGGGTTCCTGTCTCTGTGGAGTCACACAGGACGTGCTTATTCCCCCAGCAATGAGTAGTGACATGTGTGAAATGTTGCCAACCATGGAAGCTTGTTAGAGACTCAGCATCTAGGATTTTTATTGGGGGCTGGCTGCATAGGCACCCTCTGCCTGCCATGTGTCAACATTATAGACTCCCTAAAGGGACACAGTTGGTCAGCATGAACCTTATTGTCTAGACAGTATAGGCAAGTGAGCCACTCTCACCAGTACTAGGAACGGAAGGAACTCTCCCCAAATTTGAGTTCCCAGGCACCAGCCTATGGCCAGCTTCATAAACAGTTCTTTTTAAAGTTGGGTCTGCTGTGTTAACTCTTTTCTGCATGGATGGATAGGCATTTAAAATGGAAAAAGAGGAAGGGAGGGCATTCCAGCC